AGTCATCCATCTTCACCTTCAACTGATGAAGCCGGCAGCGCGTGGCATTGATCGATTTCATTTTGATTTTTGCCAAGATGAATAAATTAGGTTGCATAATGATTGTAACCATAGCAGTATGGATATACTGCCTCTGGGAACTGACAATGACAAATGACTAGGAGGTGTTGCTTTTGAAGGCATTCTTAGGCATCTGAAGGTTCTGGGAAGATTGGAAAAAAATTTGTCCAGGAAAGCAGACAATCTCCAATACATACTTAATGTATTGTACATACATAATATGCCTGTCAAAGATTCTGATGATTTAAGTGGGGGCCAGGAGAGTTAAGGAATTGCAAACAGGCCAACTCTTGGATAAAGGAAATGTTTAAGTTATTTTTCCCTCATGAAGGATGGCGAATATACATGTCCCAGGATAATGTTATAGCAGTGATGGTTAACCTTTTTGGAGCTGAGTGCTCAAAGCGCACACATGCTCGTGCGAATGCACACACGTGTGCCAGAACCCCCAAAATGCAATGCGAGCGCCCCCCCTGCACATGTGCCCCCCCGCGCTCCGTTTTGGCTTCCAGGTTGGTGCAGGAGGCTTTCTGGAAAGCCTCCTGCACCAACCTGGAAGCCAAAACGGGGCATGGAAGCCAACCTGGAAGCCAAAACAGGGCACAAGGTGCCCCGTTTTGGGGCTGGAAAGCCTCCTGCACCAAACTGCACCCCCCCATGCATGTGCCCCCCCATGCATGCATGCACGTCCCCCATGCGTCCCACCCCCCACGCATGCACAGCAGAGACCTGAAGAGCAGCTGGCTGGTGGGAGGTGCGAGCGCGTGCGCAGTGGAGCTGGGGTGATGTGACAGCTAGAGTGCCTGCAGAGAGGGCCATAGGTTCGCCATCACGGTGCTATAGGATCCAATCTGGGTCAGTCACCAGGACCAGAGATTTTGTCTTCTGAGCTTTGGACTCATTCTGGAGCCCATCCTTAGAGAACCTCTCTCTAGCAGAGTCCCAAAGGTGCTTTTTTCCATATTTTGGACAGAGAGGATCGCTGGGTTGAAAGAGGGGGCTAAATAGGCCATCTGTGTCAAAACTGAACAGCCCTCTCTCAATAGAGGGGGAGGGATACAATGTCATCTATCTCCAATCCACAACACAGTCCTTTCAACAGTTCCAAGAAGGCTCCACACCTATTTGCACCACTCAGATGACCCTGATGACATAGATAAACCTCCAGGTGACTTTAATGACTTGCTAAAAGAATGCAAATGACCAGCTGTCTGTAAGGAATATAAATCCTTCCATTCTCCATCATCTAGTCAGAGCTGAAGAAACTTCTTGGATGAGAAGTGAAACGTCTTCAAAGAAAAACCAGAAAGTCCAGTTGCCTCTTGGAAAAAAAGCAACTTTGGGACAACCATGATCTGGATGACTGAGAATCTCCATAGACATCTCTAGCAGAAGTGTGTGCTTTGAGCTATTCTGTGTGTGGTATTTATATGGTGCCTGTGTGTGTGTCTTTTTTCCCTGATCAGAGCAGATGTGCTCAATCTTTACTCATTAGTTTTGGTCGCCATGATGTAAAAAAGATGTGGAGACTCTAGAGTGAAAAGAAGAGTAACAAAGATGATTAGGAGACTGGAGGCTAAAACATATGAAGAACGGTTGCAGGAACTGGGTATGTCTAATTTAATGAAAAGAAGAACTAAGGGAGACATGATAGCAGTGTTCCAATATCTCAGGGGCTGCCATAAAGAAGAGGGAGTCAAGCTATTCTCCGAAGCACCTGAGGGTAGGACAAGAAGCAATGGGTGGAAACTAATCAAGGAGAGAAGCAACTTAAAACTAAGGAGAAATTTCCTGACAGTTAGAACAATTAATCAGTGGAACAACTTGCCTCCAGAAGTTGTGAATGCTCCAACACTGGAAGTTTTTAAGAAGATGTTGGACAACCATTTGTCTGAAGTGGTGTAGGGTTTCCCTACCTAAGCAGGGGGTTGAACTAGAAGACCTCCAAGGTCCCTTCCAACTCTGTTAGTCTAGTCTACTCTAGTTTAGTCTAGTCTAGTCTACTGTACTCTACTGTGCTGTACTGTACTCTACTCAAGACACCCTATGGCACTTTATTGTTGGGAAACTTGTCAGCTGAAGTCCAACACATCTGGAAAGAATTAACAGTAGCCTGCTGTACAGCAATGTTTTACAATTAGGGCCTGTGGCCAAAAAAATAAATAAATACTGCAATGTGGAGATTCCTGCCCATCCAGCCCTCTTTCTTGCCATTCAGCATTCTGTTTCATCTCTCCCCTATAGGTTTTTCTGAAAACCTTTTAAAAAGAAATTTATAGACCTCAAGATCCTGCTCCCCAGTTATGTATGGGTTTGGAGTGGACTACATCAATATTAGAAACAAAGAGAATGTCTTACACATAAAACACCTATGTATGCTTTGTGCTCCATACAGGTAATCCTTGATTTAAGACTGGTCTGGTAGGTGCTTGGCAACTGGCTCATCTTTACAACGGTCATGTACCCATGATTTACAATGTCTTTTGCCAGTTTCTAGCCTTTCTGGCCAGTTCCTAGCTAAGATTGCCCACAGAAATATATTGATTCATTTAATGATTACAGGGGTCTCTTAATAACTGCTGCATTCACTTAACAACTGTGACGTTAGCTTAACAACTGCCACAAAAAAGGTCATAAAATTGGGTCATGTAGGCGCCTTGATTTACGACCATCATGACTTAAATTGGAAAGTATGGGCTCCATTTACAGTCATAAGTTGAGGACTGCCTGTAAGTACTGAAAATAAAACATGCCACATCTATATTAAGTGTGCAGTCAGTAGTTATGGAAAAGATGAATTAAAGATGAAAGCAAAAGGGCAGGAAGGGCAGGCCTAGAAACCCAGAATAAATAGCTCTGTCTTAGAGACAAAGTCAGTCATTTTGCTGTCAGTCTCCATCAATGTCACACCAAACTCCACTTCTAGAGACAGCTTTCTGTTTAAAAAAGAAATGTGGCAAGTCACAAAAACAATGTCTTCTGGTGTCCTTAAAGAGGCTCATTCTTTGGCCTTCTCAGGGACCTTTGATAATGTTTGAAAAATAGAAGCAAACACAGGAAGAGATCAAAGGAAAAGATGATGATACTTGCAAAAGACGATAACCACAGGTTCAGTTAGAAATATAGGGCAAAGGAATTTACTAATGTAATTATTCTAAAGCAGGGGTGTCAAACTCAAGACCCGGGGGCCGGATCTGGCCCGCAGGGTGCTTAGATCTGGCCCACAGGGCTGACCTGGAACCAGCAAAGGAATGACCGGCAGTGCCTCTGCCAGCAAAAATTGAGTTTGGGAGGATCGCCTGCAGCCCTCCCAAGCTCCGTTTTTGCTGGCAGAGGGTTGCAGGAGGCCGTTGCAGCTAAAAACTGAGCTTGGGAGCCCATTTTCACTCAGGCTGCCACAGGTGCCCCCGACATGAGTGACATCAAGCTGGCCACACCCACCCTGGCCCCCCAAGGTCAAACACAACCCTGATGTAGCCCTCAATGAAATTGAGTTTTACACCCTTGTTCTAAAGGGAAGATAGAGTAGCTTGTCTTTACAACAGCTCTGTGTGGAGATACCTAATGGCTGAATCAAGAAGGAAGCACTGAATCCTAAGCTTCCCACTGCATATTTTCAAAATTGTAAATTTCTGGTCCCCCCTAAAATCAGGGATCCCTTTTTAATTTACTAAATTTCATTGGCTTTCATCAAAGTATGTCTTAAACAACTGGGTTTTCCCTTGCTGATAAATTTACAAAGCAATATAAAAACAGCTACTATTATTACAAAGGAATTAGTCAATCCACAACTAGCGTATATTTGGAAAGGGACGTCACAGGCCTGACTATCAGCCTCTTGTATTTCATGGTCATTTTGCCCTGACAATTTATATTAAAATACTTTTCTTCTGGGACACAAATATAAATATATCTGCCAACTAAAAGCAACAGACAAAGGAGACTTGACTTAATGAAAGTTGATGCCACAATACATCAGCCAGTGAGAGAGTTATGTGGATTTTAGCAGTTACCAATAGCATAGCAACTACACATTCTTTGCCTGCATTAAAATTTTAAATTGCTTACTTTCCTGTCTTATATGAGTCCCCTGGGAAACGCTACACACGTCAGCCAATAAAATAATAATCAGCAAGCTACCACCGCAGAGAAAACTTCCGTAGATATGTGCCAAAGCAGATGCACCCAAAAATGATGGTAGAAAGAAACGGAAGGGGCAGGCGGTAAAATTATGATTCGGATACACTGGTAACTGGGAGGAACTCTTGCATTAATGATTAGGAATAGGCTGGGGCGACCGTTTTGCATTGCTGAACTGAAGTCATTCCCAACGGACATATCCCAAAGGTGCTTTTTTCAAAAGGTAGCTGGACTATCTTTGCCTTTTCTCTTGAAGACATTTTGGTTCTCATCCAAGAAGCTTCTCCAGTCAGAACTGAAGAAGCTTCTTGGATGAGAAGCAAAACATCTTCAAAGAATAACAAAAGTCCAGTTGCCTTTTGAAAAAGCTCCTTTGGGACAACCATGACCTGGATGACTGAGAATCTCCATACATCAGGGGTGTCAAACTCAAGGCCCATGGCCCACATCCGGCCCACAGGGGGCTTAGATCTGACCCACGGTGCCTCTTCCAGCAAAAATGGAGCTCGGGAGGGCCGCCATTTTCGCTGGCAGAGGGTTGCAGGAGGCCGTTGCAGCCAAAAATGGAGATCAGGAGCCCATTTTTTGCAGGCAGAGAGCTTGGCCAGCCACATGCCCCCCCCGACACGAGTGATGTCAAGCTGGCCACACCCACCGTGGCCATGCCCACCCTGGCTCCCTGAGATCAAACACAACCCTGATGTGGCCCTCAATGAAATTGAGTTTGACACCCCTGCCATAGACGTTCCCAGTGGACATAATAGGTAGCCATCAGAGTGGGTCACAAAGAGCAAACTTACCGCAGCATCTGAGATGGAGACTCGGTGGGATTCTATTGTCGGCCTCCTCCCTGTCCTTGGTGAAATATGCGTGGAGGGTCCCGTGGCATATGGACCAAAGTCCGGAAGGTCAGAGGAACTCAAGTAATTCCCAGTAGTCTTTTCTTGAAGGGAATACTTCCTGCCAGTCAAAATGGGCCTTTTGGAGAGCTTCTTTGGTTCATGCAACTCATTGGTGTCATCCAGTTCTTCGGAGGTGCCTGAATCAACACTGACCCCATTCCTTTGGTTGTTTTCAGCTGTGCAGTTAGATAACAGAACAACACTTTCTTCTATTGCTTCCTGGCTGTTTGGTTTAATTCCATTGGGACCAACAGTTACACTGATGGCAGCTACTCTCTCGGCAAGCTCCATCTGAGCCTCTTTGCAATCCATGTCTGTGGCTTGGCCAACAATCTCAGCTGTAGAATCACCCATAGTCAAATCCTGGCTTTTTATGTTATTAGATAATAGTATAAGCCATCAGGACTGAAAAGTTCTTCTGAAGAGTCCAAGGTGGGGATCTTGGCCACATGGATTTCTGGAAAGAACTGTAATAAAGAACAGAGGAAGCAAAGAGAAAGCCATTACTTTAAAAGCCAGGATAGCAGGGATAGCAAATTGGTGCCTTCCAGATATTTTTGTCCACAACTTTCATAAAAGTTTGTCTCCAGTTATTCTGTCTAAAATTCATGGGGGAGCTGAAATCCCAAACATTTGGAGGAGGCTAAGTAGTCCACTGCTGTAACAGTATATTACACTTCTTCATTTTCAATCCCTCACCCCCAACCATCTTGAGGGATGTTATAACCTGCAGAGGTGGTATTCAGCAGGTTCTGAACAGTTCTGGAAAACCGGTAGCTGGGATTCGGGAGGCAGAGGATAGATGGGGGCAGGACCAGTCAGAAGTGGTATTCACCGGTTCTCTGAAGTACTCAAAATTTCCACTACCGGTTCTCCAGAACTGGTCAGAAGCTGCTGAATACCACCTCTGGTATGAACTGGAACCCCAAGATTCTCAGCAATAAGTTGAGGACCACACCATTTGGAGGACTCCCAGAATGGGACAGAAAAGTCTGCTCTTTGGGGTATCTTAAAAAGCTGTAGCTTTTTTACTACAGCAGCCGTGTTATCCCCATAATCAACTTGGTTGCCTGCCCGCACAAATCGTTAAGGCACCAGACGCTGTACAACCATTTTACATACTGCAGATGCTAAGATTCAGGTACAATCATCTGTTCAGTTAATGCGGTTGCTGAGGACATATTTTGCCAGAAGGAGAAAAGATAGCTTTTCAAAGCTGTATGAAACCATAGAAATGCTGGAAAGAAAAAAAACCACCTCTGAATAGAACACATACAGGTTGAGTTAACCTTTAGCAGCAAGTAAGTAAGGAGGCAAGTGGCTTTGAAAAGGGGTCCTTAAAATGACAATTGGTGGGAGGTGAATGAATTGGTTTGCTTTAAGGGCTAAGGCTCTTCACCTGAAATGGTTTTTAAGAAAGAGAAGTTTTTCAAGGGCAGAAGACTGTTTCCTTTATTATTATTATTATTATTATTATTATTATTATTATTATTATTATTATTATTATTATTATTATTATTAAATTAAATTTGTATACTGCCCTACTCCCGAAGGACTCAGGGCGGTGAACAGCCAAAAGATAAAATACATATAATACAAATGTTAAAAAACCATTAAAATACAATTAAATAATTTGGCCCAGAAAACAAAATTTAAAACACCTCAAATTTATAAGACAAATTTAAAATTTAAAAAATTTAAAAACAGTTTAAAAAAGAGGTTAGGCCAGGCCGGCCTGCTGGAATAGGAATGTTTTGAGGGCACGGCGGAAAGCGCACGTCTGTAATCCTCCGTATCTCCGGGGGGAGCTCGTTCCAGATGGCAGGTGCTCCCACAGAGAAGGCTCTTCCCCTGGGGGCCGCCAGTCAACACTGTTTGACCGACGGCACCCTAAGAAGCCCCTCTCTGTGGGAGCGTACTGGTCGGTGAGAGGCTACTGGTGGCAGAAGGCGGTCTCGTAGATACCCCAGTCCTAGGCCATGGAGCGCTCTAAAGGTGGTAAACAAAACCTTGAAGCGCACCCGGAAGACCACCGGGAGCCAGTGCAGCTCGCGCAGGAGGGGGGTCACATGGGAGCGCCACGTCGCTCCCATAACCACCCGCGCGGTCGCACTCTGCACCAGCTGGAGCCTCTGGTTGCTCCTCAAGGGGAGCCCGATGTAGAGAGCATTGCAGTAGTCCAGGAGGGAAGTGATGAGGGCATGAGTGACCGTATTTCTTCTCTTTGTAAATACCAAATCACTGGCTATGCCTCAGGAATTAGCTGCATCGTTCCCATCTTCCCTTCTTCTTCATAGGCACCTTGCCAGGAACTGTTCTATCAGCAGTTGAAATGAAGTGCGTGGTTTCGTATTCCAATAATGGAGAATATTTGTAGCTCAGGGTTGAAATGAGGGGTCCTTGGTGCTCTCTGAGCTTGGTTGTTTTCTTGCAGACGTCTCATTACCAAACTAGCTAACATCATCAGGGCTGACCATTGTTCAGCAAAAGTGCAAGAAAACAACTAAGCTGAGAGAGGACGAAGGAGCCCTCCTTTCATGTAGCAATTGCAGGCACTGGGGCTGGTCTAAACAGTTACAGCCTCCCAATCTTACCCACCTGAACATGTCAAAGTAAGAGTTACAAGAACTGGGATGAGGCACTATCTTGTCCTGCATCCTAGCAATAGCAATAGCACTTAGGCTTATATACCGCTTCACAGTGCTTTACAGCCTTCTCTAAGCGGTTTACAGAGTCAGCCTATTGCCCCCAACAATCTGGGTCCTCATTTTTACCGACCTTGGAAGGATGGAAAGCTGAGTCAACCTTGAGCCTGGTGAGATTCGATCTGCCAAACTGCTGGCAGTCAGTGATCAGCAGAAGTAACCTGCAGTACTGTACTCTAACCACTGCACCACCGTGGCTCCTCCTAGGCCAGGGGTCTGCAACCTGCGGCTCTGGAGCCGCATGTGGATCTTTCACCCCTCTGCTGCAGCTCCGTCACTCAAAATATGCATCACAACTCCAATGTGCGACACCTGCCAGCACATGATTTATTGAGCTTTTCAACCCCTGGTAGGCCAACCGTGGATAAATCCAAGAAAAGAAAAGTTTCAGAAGAAAACAGAACGTTTAATTCAACTACATATGCTAGTTTTGTGGCCGCTCAAGAAATAGTCAGGCACAGGAAGGGTTTTGTGGCTCCCGGTGTTTTCTTTTCTGTGGGAAACGGGTCCAAATGGCTCTTTGAGTGTTTAAGGTTGCAGACCCCTGTCCTAGGCCATTCTATGGCTGGTCTTTCATTCTGGACAGAGAGGATGGTGGCCCCTGATACAACAAATGTTCCAGTGCTGGTCTGCTGAAACTCTGCAGAAAAAATAGCTAAGGCTGAACTATATGCAAGATGTGTGTGGGCTAAAATGTGTGGGGTTTTTTGTTTTTTTGGGGAGGGAGGAGGTGTTTCCTACCAAGTCAACAACAAACTCAGGTAGCTGGTAGCCTATTCATGTGGAATTGAAATGGCACCATTCGAAAATGCTTCTTTAAGTAGGATGAGATGTTACGCAGAAAACCAGGGTAGCTGCTGAAAACAGAAGGCACAAACAAAAATGAAGAACAGATGAATAAGAGTGAAATTATTGGTTCACACTTTGTAGTAAGTGGCCTAATGAGATGGAAGATTAAAACAGCATCTCTAGCAAGCTCTCTATTTCCCTAGGGGGGAAAAAAACCAATACAATTCTCTACACAAGTGGGAATGGAAACTTTCTAATCTCCTATAAAGCAGGAGAGGAAGCCAGTACTGTCATAGGACAAGGCAACACAACAGCTGGGTTGCTGCAAATCATCACCTTCATTTGCAAAAATAGTTTAAGCCATGTCTAAGGATAGCACAGAGGTACAAGAGAGAACAGTTTGTCAACTTCTGATGTCATGTTAATGGTAATAGCAGTGATAGCAGTGTTCCAATATCTAAGGCACAGGTGTCAAACTTGTGGTGTCAGGCTTCCTTCACATGATGTTTTGCGATGTTTTTTCCCTTCATGGACCTGGGATGGGTGTGGCCTGCGCATGATGCATCTGGCCCACAGGCTGCCAGTTTGACACTCCTGATAAGGGGCTGCCACAAAGAAGAGAGGGTCAACCTATTCTCCAAAGCACCAGAAGGCAAGACAAGAAGCAATGGATGGAAACTAATCAAGGAGAGATCCAACTAGATCTAAGGAGAAATTTCCTAACCGAACGATTAATCAGTGGAATGACTTGCCTCCAAGAAGTTGTGGGTACTCCCAACACTGGAGGTTTTTAAGAAGAGATTGGACAATATGTTTGAAATGATATAGGGTTTCCTGCTTCAGTTGGGGTTGGACTAGAAGATCTCCAAGGTCCCTTCAAACTCTGTTTTTCTATTATTCTGTCATGCCCTCTATGGAAACCATTTTTGGAACAGGCAACTTCCTTTCACCAGCAGCTATTTCATGAATGTATCCATGATGTCAACATTTCAAATCTGGATATTGGGCACTAAATGCGGCCTACAGGCAATCCTTGATGTACAATCACTTGTTTAATGACCATTCGAAGTTACAACAATGCTGGAAAAAACCCTACAACATGTATGTATGATAGTTGCAGCATCCTGAGGTCACATGAACCCCATCTGCAACCTTCCCAGCCGGTTTCCCAAGTAAAGTCAGTAGGCAAAGCTGGATTGACTTAATGACCATCTGATCTGCTTAATGACCATAACAAAAAAAAGTTATAAAATTAGACATGGTTCACTTAAGGACCATCTCTTTTAGCAATGGATGTTCTAGTTTCAGTTGTGGTCTTGTGTTAAGGAACTACTTGCACTTCTGCTGTATCCTGTAACTGGAAACACTGTTAAAAGGAACATGTTCCAGACTAATTGGAAGAACATTAATATTCTGTTGCAGATTCCACATATTTTACTTGTTTCACATCTTAGCATTGGAAACCTTGATATTTTGTGGATGCAGTTTGTGTCAGCCACTATTTTACTGCACCAACTAAAGCAAGTTACAAATTCTAATTACTTAATTGCTATAATTATATCTGCTTGCCCTCAGCAAACTAAAATGCAACAGTTCTTTAAAAAAAAAAGGACAGAAGATTTTTTTTGAGGTAATAATATTCTCCTGCAATTTACATATATATCTGCATCAATAAGATTATAACACATAGGAGGGTGTGGTTTGTATGAATGTGATTTGTTTATTTACTTTTAGGGTAGCCTCTCTTAATTCTATGTCTCCTTTCCAAACAGACCAGACAAGAAACATAACAAGATGAGCCATTTCTACTTTATTGTACAGCTACATTAACAGAATCTTGCAAGTCTGAAAGTACATATTCCTCCCCTCTCCTTTACAGCTCAAAGAAACTAAGGAGCCTCTTGCCTCTAAGCCTCTTGCCCCACCCAATACCCAGCTACAGGCTATGCCGTCTCTTATCTGATGGTACCCTT